GATAAACACTCACCAGTTTTCATTTTCTGCATTCGGCGAAGCCATGGCTGAAATAGGAAGCCAAAATGATACCGGATTCACGGCCAGCCACTGCATGCATGAATTTTCATCCATGCGCATTGAAACTCGTCCCAGATCACGAACCGCGTTCAACCGTAGTAGTCTACCGTAGCTGCCCTATCTTAAACTCCCTAATATCTGAAATTTCCAAGTTATGGTAAAATATGTTAATGAGCTACCTGTGCCCTGCTCGCAAGGTAGGGATTCGTAAAATTGAGAAATACACTCGAAATCGTCTGAGATTGAGCACAGGACATAAGACTAATAAAGGTTAGTAAATTCGTTTTTGAAATTTCTATATAAATACAATCGAATACATTCTATTCAGATCGATCTAGGATACAGCTCTAGAACAGAGGTTGGGCTTCCTGTGGTGGTTTTGGGGTCATGTTGTGACGCGGTTCAGTGACAATATTGTGTAGTTGGTCGATGTCTTTAGTTCATGGCCTCTTTTTACCAATGTGAAAATAACAAAGAATTTTTAATTTAATCTCGAATTTTAAACGTCAGAAGCGATGCGTACATGCTTACCTTAAATTGGAATTGTGCTATTTATTTAATTTGGTAAGTATCAATAACGTTTTGATTGTTTTAGCTAGCTTGCTTGTTGAACACTTCACTGGTCTGGTCTTTGCATTTGCTGAACTAAAACACGCGATTACTAATTAAGAGAGAATTCTTTTCGTATTCAAGCAGTGGGCGCCAAAAACTATTTTCTTGAAGAAAGGCTGTTGTACAAGGTTAAAATCTTGTTATTCAGAAAGTTTAACTTGTTTGGAAGTGGAGATGACCGATGAAAGTGGAATCAAAGTGTTTATATAACCCAAATCAAAAATTTTATTTGAAAATGAAGTTTAGGCCATCATTTGCTTATTTCCCATACATTTTCCATAAAAAAGCCTGACAAAGCTAAATTCTAACATAAATGCAACAAAACATCTTCGTACAATTGAAAATACCGCTTCAAACAGGCATTTTATCATAGTACATCAGTTTCTAACTGTTTAAAAAAGGTTTTGAGTGTTAACCCGGCCAAAACGAAAATTAGGATCAAAACTCATACGAAAGTCTAGTTTTTGGCGCTTTTTGCCATTATTGCTCATTATTGAAAAAAATTTCCTCTTAAGTTGAATGCAGACTTGTGCTCACATAAATATATCGCCTGTTAAAGTTCGTGGGCTATGTTGTTTTAGCTGTGGGATTTTTATTAAATAAGATTATTATAATCAATCATTAAACTTTGCGTGCAATATAATATCACGTGAATCAAATTAGCTTTTAAACTTATATTATGCAAGTAAGCTTACTACTCAAGCAGAGTGCCAAAATGGGCGGCATTAATTTAGGTAATTTGGGACTGTATATTTTCAGTCCTTGATGGCTAAGGCAATAACTAATGCTCTTTAATTTGCCAAATAACTACTAGCTTTTTTTAAATATTTCTATAATAGAGCGCAAACAGTATATCGTCCGTGAAACACTATAATTACTATATTGTTCAAAATAATGCTAGTTAAACAAAAGAAAACAATAGAAGTGGCATGAAAAAGTGTGAGTTAGTATAACCAATATTTCACGAATATATTGTTTGCACTCTAGTAGTGTCTATTTGTAATGCTAGTGCCTTTGCCATCATTGGGGACACTCACGCACAGTACTACTTCATTCAATGTTCTATGCACAAACAGCTCAACTCGCATGTTGATTTTTTTTGGAGAGGAAACCAGAGAACCCTGAGAAAACCCTCATAGCATAGGAGAGAACAGCACACCAAACAAACTCAAATCACATGTGGCGTACACAAGGCTTGAAACAGTAACATGGACGCTTGGACCCTTGCACCACCCCATGCTACTATTAATTAGTGTGTGCTAGGCTTGCTATGCAACATGTAGCAAAACCTTGTCCTTTCTCTGCTCAAGAGAAGATGAACTGATTGATTATAATTATCCATTTTTTAATTTTCAGCATTTCATGTTTACACAACCTTAAAATATGGCACTCACATTGGATCAATTTCTCCAGAACATCGGCAGTCTTGGATGTTACCAAGCTAAACTCCTGACAATGCTAGGTTATATTCTAGTATTTAATGTTGCCTATCCATTCTTAGTTGTAACATTTTTAATAATTGAACCTCCTTGGAAGTGTGCTACAAACAGTACTAAATGTACGTTAACTGGTGAATATAAACCAGGGAATGAATACTATGATTTTCGATGCAGCATTCCACGGAGCGAGTGGTATTTCAGTGGAGAGAGAACGAGTGTCATTACTGAGGTTTGTATATTTTAAATTTCATTGACAGTATTCAAATAAGTAATGCTACTGTTCTTGTAAACATTATTTGTAAAATATAAAAATTATTAATGTCATCACTACTATTGATATTGTCACCCACCATGCATTACAAACAATGTCATGTGAAACCGTCACCACATGGGTGGGGGTGGAGGGGCTACAGTCCCCCCTCCCCTCCCTCCCCACCCACCCCACCCCTTTCTTAAAATAATTCCTAGACAAAATAAAAATGTAATTCTTATAAAAAAGGGAGGAGGGGGAGCTAAAGCTCTCCCAGTCCCCCCTCTCTACCGTCCATCACCATCACCATCACCAGTTATCTCAATCACTTGAGCAACTATTGGTATCACCATCACCTAGCCAAAGCTAGTTAAGGATTGATTTAACTTGTAGATATATTGTGTTAATGTACCAAATTTACTGTGCATTTTAATGCTGGTATGTAATGTACTATTTGTTTTTACTTCAGCTGAATACTTATTGACACATTATCCAATTTTGTTTCTTGATTCAAACAGTTTGAGTTGGTCTGTGACAAATCCTACTTAAATTTAGTTTCCCCAAGTCTGTTTTTCTTTGGTACTTTGGTTTCTGACTTCTGTTGTGGAATACTGTCGGACAAGTTTGGTCGTAAGCCTATCATGATTGTTTTTGGTACTGCAGGGTCTCTATTTGCACTTTTTGCTGCTCTGTCACCTGCGTTTTGGATGTATTCCATCTGCAGATTTTTTGTAGGCTTTTGCTATGGTAAGAATTATAACTATTTCTGCAAAGGCTGGTGAAGGTTTTGGTGCATGTTGATTATTACTTGAAAGCATGAAATGTTATATCTTTATATGTAAATATAGTCAGCAAGAAGAAAATTTGGAAAAAAAATCAACTTGCAGACAAATGGGAAATGATTTTTTTTTTGCTGATTGAACTCACATCGCCCATAGTGCATTTTGGGCTTGGTAAATTGAAACATGCAACAAAGCCTTAACCTTTTTAAAAAATAGCTGGTTATTCAATTTGTTGAATTTGCAGAATGTCGTTCATGTTTTGTAAGCAAGACAACTCCAGATCTGGAATGCTGTATCATGTTTTGGATTTCACAAATCAATCAGCTGATTTGCAATTGTTGGAATTATTCTGAAATTTTTGATTGATACGGAGCCAAAACCTGAGATATCTCAGATGAAAGGTGAATCCACTATGCTATGCCACCCTTGATCCTCCACATAACAAAACTGAATTACTATTCAACAGCTGCTACATTTATTCCAATGTATACTCTTTGCACTGAGTTTGTGGGTGTCGATCGTCGCCATGTGTCGGGGACAGTCATCTGGATGAGCTGGGCATTCACAGTCATGATGTTGAGTGGAATTGCTTATTTTTTTCATGACTTCAGGAGTGTTACTCTTGCTGGAGCTGTTCCTGGTTTTCTCATACTAGTAATGTGGTGGTAAGTGATGTATTGCAGCTGCTAATTGTGTACTATCTATGACAATAATGATAATGATTTGTTATTTATATAGTGCCCTTTCTATATGGATATAATCAAAGGCACTTTACATTGAGTTGTGATTGACAGATTGCTTTTATGCAATTTACAAGCACGATAGACTGCCAGGGTTTCTTCCTCAGTGGTTCTCTTACGTCCTTCTGATGTTGGTTAGTAATGATGAGTGTGGAGAGACAGGACCGCCATTTAAAGTGGTCATCCGAGCCACTTGAAAGTCTAACCATTTGCAGATGTAATTACAAAGGCAGCACTTTCTCCTTAGTTACCTCAAGACCCTGAGTGTTGGTCTGGCCTGGACCCAAACCACAACCTCCTCCTGGTCCAATGCTCAACCAACTGAGCCAACTGGTTGGGAGTTGACAGCTGCCATTTCGTTGACCAGTTGAAACAATGATGATGTTATTGGTGGTGGTGATAGTGGTGGTGATAAGAATGTTGGTGATGGTGGAGGTGATGGTGATGTTGGTGATGGTGGAGGTGATGGTGATGGTGATGTTGGTGACGGTAGAGGTGACGGTGATGGTGATGGTGATGGTGATGGTGATGGTGATGGTGATGGTGATGGTGATGGTGATGGTGATGGTGATGTTAGTGATGGTGGAGGTGATGATGATGGTGATGATGGTGGTGATGGTGATGGTGATGGTAGTGATGGTGGAGGTGATGATGATGATGTTAGTGATGTTGGAGGTGATGATGATGGTGATGATGATGTTGGTGATGGTGGTGCTAATGATGATGGTGGAGGAGATGGTGATGGTGATGGTGATGTTGGTGACCATGGAGGTGATGGTGATGGTGATGTTGGTGATGGTGGAGGTGATGATGATGGTGATGATGATGTTGGCGAAGGTGGAGGTGATGATGATGGTGATGATGATGTTGGTGAAGGTGGAGGTGATGATGATGGTGATGATGATGTAAGTGATTGTGGAGGTGATGATGATGATGTTGGTGTAGGTGATGATGATGGTGATGATGATGTTGGTGAAGGTGGAGGTGATGGTGATGGTGATGACGATGATGATGTTGGTGATGGTGGAGGTGATGATGATGGTGATGATGATGTAAGTGATTGTGGAGGTGATGATGATGATGTTGGTGATGGTGTAGGTGATGATGATGGTGATGATGATGATGTTGGTGATGGTGGAGGTGATCATGATGGTGATGATGATGTAAGTGATGGTGGAGGTGATGATGATGGTGTTGGTGTAGGTGATGATGATGGTGATGATGATGTTGGTGATGGTGGAGGTGGTGATGATGGTGATGATGATGTTGGTGATGGTGGAGGTGATGGTGATGGTGATGGTGATGATGATGTAAGTGATGGTGGAGGTGATGATGATGGTGATGATGATGTAAGTGATTGTGGAGGTGATGATGTTGGTGAAGGTGGAGGTGGTGATGATGATGATGTTGGTGATGGTGGTGGTAATGATAATGGTGGAGGTGATGATGATGATGATGATGTTGGTGACGGTGGAGGTGATGGTGATGGTGATAATAAACTTTTATTTCAAGAGGGTACATTTAACAGCTTACACCGCTCATTGGTCAATTTAAATAGGCTGACTTGAGTGGCCAACCCTTAAGTGATGATGTGTCAGATGGTCACAAAGTACATGATTACCAATGGCACATGTATGTATAGTGGAATTTAAAGCCATGCATTATTGCACATAGGGAAGGATAAAAATTTCAATGCAAGCCTCCTTAAAGCATAAACTTTTCCAAAACTAATAGACCTTTTGGAGTGTTTGTACTGACTTCCCATGGCATTTTGGACAATGGCATTTATTGGTTGAGAATTTTGCTGAATTTTGCTGGATCTGAGCTGGCAACCAAAGTGCTTAGTACATTTTTCTCTCTCTAAATTGTTACACTTTTTGTAGTTTTATTCCAGAATCAATAAGGTATCTTCTTATAAATGACAAGACAGAAAGAGCTTATGAAACCCTGCGGCATATAGCAAAGACAAATAAACGTGAATATCCAAATGAACTACTGGATTTATCTTTCATGACCAAAGATCAGAAGAAGGGAAATATCAGAGACCTCTTCAGAACCAGAAAGATGTTACACATCACTGTTGTGCTTTTCACTGTTTTGTAAGTTATTAAATGGCTTCATTACAGTCCTGGAGGAGGAAATCCCATATATGAGAGGGTGGGGATGCTCCTCAGGAATTTTGTAAATGAACCCTAAAATATTCCTTAAAGTCCTAATCAGTTGGGCATATGGAAACTAATGTTTTTCCCTCAAAAAGCCCCAACTCTAAAATAATTTACTCATTTACGCAAAAGTGTTAAATGGCAGGAGTCAGATAATAAAACAATAATTATAAATATCTTGCATTACAACTGACATTCCATCTTTCATCATCTTATCTCAATTATCTTATTTTCAAAAAACCCTAAGAGATACCGTATGTGTTACTCTGGTGGTACTTTGAGATTTGGTACATCTTAGGGTGTCATAAATCCAAAAATCTATACCAATGTCTTTTTCCAATCGGAGTCCCCCCTGAGTTTGGTGGGTCCTGAACATCTTAAATGTCAAGCTCAACCTAAGTAAACAGGATAAATAAATAATCAAATTATTTTGTTTTAATAATCAAATTGGTTTGTTTTAGATTAATAGCTACTATGGTCTACCTTGCTGTGACCATAAGTTCTCCTACCCTTGGTGGTAACATGTATCTAAATGTTTTCCTCTTTGGTGCTATTGAAATTCCTGCAAATTTCCTTGCAATGTGGCTTATAAGAAAGTGAGTTACAGAATGACTAAGGTGTAAATGAATTTCATATTTACTTAGTTCTTTCATTATTGCTGGGCTGGTTTTCAAGCATTCCCAAGGGAATGAAATAAGAAAAGACATGGCAGCCATGTTGGTTGATATTACAAAAGAATTCATTGACAATTCTTTCATTAAATTCAACCAAGATGGCAACTATGATGTCATGTGCAAATGAAATACTAATAGTGCACACTCTTTTGGCTTGGGCATACTCTCTTCCCATTTCAGGCCACATCATTCCCTTGAGTATCATTTCTTTGTTTTACAAGTGCAGATGAGAAGATACAGGAATATTAATGCCTAATATAATCTTATTCCCCAAGAGAATGACACATGGTCTGGAATGGGTAATAGAATGGGAAAAAATATGATATTTTACTTAAATATTTCTGCACTGAAAAAATGGGATTTGATAAAGTGGGGCAGTGATTTCTGTAATTCTGAATAGGAAATAGAAGCCCAGTATATAAAGTTTCCCATTTTTTCATATTGCGATTGGAATTTTACCTTACATGGTGTATAATGAAGCCTAACCAATAATCCAATCTTCTTGTATAATTTAACTGATCATGAATTTATATTAAATTCATTCACCGTTCTCATAATGGCTGACGAGCGCATGGGGTTACCCAGTCATCTTGCAAGGCTGAGCAAGGCTGCTCATTCAAAATAAAGGTGGATAGCGTGAATTCAAGTCTAAACAAAAGGTCAATTTCTATACTTTTTTTCTATAAACGCATTTCATGTGCTTTTTTATGTTTTATTTTGAACTAATGTCCGGGTGACCTCCTTTTCACTCACTTGTCAGCCATTATGAGAACAGTGTATTTTTTGCAAACTTTAGAAGCTTATCATATTATGTACTGTTGTCATAGGTATGGTAGACGAAATTCTATTGCAGGAAGTCTAATAGTAGCTGGACTTGGAGGTTTTCTTGTTGTTCTTTTTACAACATATGATCCAGGAAACCACATAGGTAAAATAAGAAAGGTGTAATGAGGTATATCTCAATGTAAGGAAGCGTATTTCTGAAATTTCACAAAAAATATCACACATTTTTTACTGAAATATTATGAAAATTTAAAAAATATTCCCACAAGTTGGAAGTCTGAGAAAAATGGGTGAGGATGGGTCTGAGAGAAGTGGTTGAGGATGTTCTTGGATAACCCAGGTGGGGGGAGCTAGTGGATAACAGTAGTAGAGGGTCTGAGAAAAATGGGTTAGGATGTTCTTGGATAACCCAGGTGGGGGGAGGGTGGTAGTAACAGTAGTAGAGGGTCTGAGAAAAGCGGCTAAGCATAAGGATGTTCTTCGATAACCCAGGTGGGGCAGGGTGGTGGTGGATAACAGTAGTAGAGTGTCTGACAGAGTTCTTGGATTCCAGGTGGGGGTCTGAGAGTAGTGGCCGAGGTTGTTCTCAGACTCTATAATCACCTAGTTCCTTGTGCAAGGAAAAGGCAATTGAACAATCAATAATTTCCTACAGGTTACACAGTAGGACGTATTGGAGTTTCTTTAATTTCCAAGATGGCCATTGTTATATCTTACATAACATTGGTGATGTTTGCTGCTGAATGTTACCCTTCTGTCATCAGGTAATCTGAATTTTATTGATTGCATTCCTCATTAAATTACAACTTTAAGCTCTCATTTTAAAACATTTTTACCTCATCACATGTGAGCAGTTTTTTAAATCTCTCCCTTGATTTGGAGGTTTCCTCTGGTTTTCCTTCTTCCATAATTAAAACAACTAAAATACTCCAACTTGTTCTCTATTAACTCTGCTATGAGTTAGTGGTTCCCTCAATAGAGCAGTTTGTTGCAAGACTATATAGCTTGGGTAATGAATGGGATTTTTGACAGTACATCCCTGGCTTTGGATGCCTATTTATCCACACCACCCATAGGATTCCCACTTGCAATTAGTGATGGCCTAGTCATGCAGCTCACAGCTACAGAGTTTGCATTTATATAAAAATAGCAGCACATAAGCTAATAGCTTTCAGAAAGACTTGGTTCAATTATCATTGATTACCCATTGAGTCCCTGGGCAAGAGTACTTAACTATCACATTATTTACTTGAAAACTAGCATTTCATACCATATAAATCCTCATGTAATGTTATTTTACCCCCAAGGAGTACGGGTTTTGCTGTTACAAATGCTGGTGTTGATACAGGTGGACTAATTTCTCCATTTGTTGTTAAGCTGGTGAGTTATCCTTGCATTTGTCAATAGATTTACCATGAGCTGGGATATTGTTGATATTTCTACTTACCACTTTTTATTGCTACATGCTGATCGAGACAACAGTAGCGACAGGGAAAATTGGGAAATATACTTGTCAATCAAATAAATTGGTAAATACCTTTATATTCTCTAATTGGTGGCAGCGTATTGCCCTATTTCTCTATTGCAACTGTCACCTTGATCAGCACACAGCAGTGAAAAGAGTGGTAATACTAAGGAAACTTAACCTCACCTCACTCATCACATGATTGTGGGATTTAAAAAAACCCTTCATCTTAAAGAGATTTGCTTTTTCATTTTGAATGATATTCTCAACATTAACTGAAGATGAGTCAGGTTATTTTCAACATCCTGGTCTGTCTTAGAATCAATGCATTCTAAAGGTACATTAAGAAAAATAGTGATAACTACTAAAAGATCTTATGAATTGGAGTTTGTTGGCCGAGCACTGTATTCCATTGGAATACTACCCATTGTTTGGGTGGAAGCTCAAGCATAGCTGTGATTGGCCTATTATTGTAGTGTTGTTACATTACTGACGTTTATGGGATTAGCCAGTCTGGTCTAAGGATGTGACATATATCAAGTTTGACATTACGTGAAGTTCAATTTATTAGTTAATAAGCCTGAAGCGAGATGACGTTTTACCCCCGTCTTGGGACCATGATCCTTTTCACACTGCTTTTGTTCTTTAATTATGAGTATTGTTCCTGTATTCTCTAAGGAAGCAAAAATTTTAATATGAAAGAATTTTAAAAACTATTATGGTATAGAGTCGGGGGTAAAACGTCATCTCTCTTCAGGCTTATTGTAATGAAAAAAAGCAGAAACATTTGAAAACATTTTTCTTCATAGGATCGTTACCATCCTCTGTTACCATATGGAGTCATAGGAGGAAGCTCTTTGTTAGCAGGGATATTGTGTTTAACATTGAAGGAGACCGGTAACAAACCCACTAGGGAAACCTTGAATGATGATATAACAATGGAACTGGTGTCCAAAGACCAAAAAACTGAAGGTTATGAAGATGATGGCCCGCTGGACAAGAAACAAGTCATTAGCAATCATTCAACTGCATGAGTAAAGAATGAAATGATCGACTTGCACATGGGAAGGTTTTTTTAATTCAAACATTAACAATTATTATTATTTTTAAGGATTAAATGAATTTGATAGGCTGACAATTCTTATGATATTTAAACATTAATTTTAATATTTTACATCTATATGAAATAAATAATCATGAGGAACAACTTAAATTTGAGAAATTATTTTTATTAATTCAATCAATGTAAAACAACAACTATTTAATGGCAGGTAGCTAGTTAACACAAATTGTTTTTGTTTTGTAAATAGATGAAGTAAAGTAAATAAATAAAATACAATACTTTATTATTAATTCTCCCCATTGGGCTTTTCAGAATTAATTTATAATAATGAAAATAATGAAATAAATAAAATATTTACAGCTATTGGAACTAATAATCATAAGTAAATAAAAATTTAAGAGAAGATAAAGTAAAAATAAAATGAGGGACAATAAAGTTTGAAAAAAAAACCCGTTGTCAAATTGTATATATTGGATGTTGCCTATGTGATTGTGTTTAACGTCGCCCATAAAGTATCATGTAGCAAAATATCTCTTCAACACTGGGTTCTACTCTACCATGCCCTAAGACTCAACATTTACATTTCTTGTATGAAATCCTTGTATGATGTATATAGCAATACCCATAAGCATGGCCATAATCTGATTGAAGTACGAATGTTAGATGTGTATATATCAGCATTACTTCTTTCTAGATTGAACTGCAACACTGAAATACTTGTTTAATGTATTTTAATGGCAAATTTCATGATAACTACATTGAGCTACAACTGATGAGAACTATTAAAAACAACTAAAACAACAATAGCTTACTATAGATTGAAAAATATGTCTGTCTGACCATGCATTTCTTCAAATTCAAGTAGTTGTATCGTAAATTAACTGTTTTAGAAAAGCTGTTTTTCATGAGCATAAACTGTGATTGCCTCTATAATTGATAAACATGGCTACTATACATATATGTCCTATTTTACATACAAAAATTGTAGCTATCTCCTAAAAGAGTAACAAGTATTTTATCATTATTCTAATTGTTCTATGTGAGTACTATTTTGTTGTGAAGTGTGATCATCCGGATGAGCGTAGTCTTGAGAAAGACTGTTGTTGGTGGTGACTGACGTTTCAAGAACCTGAGCGGAAGTCATCTTCAAAGTCTAGTGAGAAAATAGACTCTGAAGATGACTTGCGCTCAGCTTGTCGAAACATCAGTCACCACCAACAACAGCCTTTCTCAAGACTACGTTCACCCAGACAATCACACTTCACAACAAACTTCTACAACTGGGTTCAAAGCATTTACTCTTGTGAGTACTATTATTACACATATCTTTATTCTTCCCTTGATCTTGTCTTCACTATCAAAGCTTCTCAACAGCTATATGGTACATGTTCTATTTTCTTCTTTACTTTCCTGTCTGTTAGTCTGGCTAAACAGCACTAGCCCTTTGTCACCTGCAAATTGATGTTTGTTAGCTCGTATTCTCTCTAAATGTACATCAAAACTAGATAAAAGAACAGAAGACTATGTAAATTAAACTTCTCTAAATTAAGATTTCTCAATATTGAGCACCCCTTTTCGATCTGTGTTTCCTGTGTTAAAATACATATGGGGTTGGAATTTTTCTCAATGAGCTATTACTAGTTGGCTTCAAGAATTATATGCATCATGCTGGTATCATAGCTATAGCTCATCTTTAGCTGGCACTACTTTTGTTTCCCTACTATATAGTAAGACTGCACAGTATTCTAGTACCTGTCTTTACTCAACAGAAAGATTCTGTTTTGAGTGGATTCAATTGGACTTCAATTGACAAATACTGTTTGGTCTGAAAACGTTTGTGATTACTTACCCATACCTACCAATTATTTTCTACTAAGTTGCTGAAAATTAATAGTTATATAGCAAAAGAGACAAAGTTTGAGAGTGTTAGGTTTGGAACCACATGGAGTGAGTGTTTGTGTCTCTGTTCTATTTTATAGTCAAGAGACTAACAATGACTTGGCTTCTTTAAGGTAAAAGTTGGCTTTTACCAGTAATTCCATTCAGAATGAGTTCACTGGAAACTCAAATTCTCTGGAATTCAAGCATTTTTTATGTGTGAGTTTTGGGTGATTATGTTGCCAGGCTTGCTGTACACCTTGTCAAGATTTATGTCATATTACACACCACAACATTAATACTCACCAGCTATACTTTAATAGGGCCTGTAGCTTCTGGATTTGGTATCAGAAGGACTTAAACCTCTTGCTGTGGAGTCAGTTCTTGCCACTGGGCCAAAGCCAGAGCTCATCTGTGCATAGCTACCCATTGGAAAGCTAGCATCAGTTGAGGTGCCAGAACCAGAGTATGCTTTTGATGCACTTTCACTTCCAGCACTCATAGGAGTGTTTGTATTATAGCCATACATTCCCATCATTGCCGCTGCAGGAAAGTTACTCCAATCACCTGACGGCACTGCACCACCCATGCCAGCAAATGGACTATACCCGTACCCACTGCTCATGCCTGCCTGATCATATGACCCAGAACCTCTGCTACTACTGCTTGCACCATTAGATTGACTTTTACTGCTTTGCCCTTCTCTATCACTACTACTTCTATATCCTACCCCTCCATAGCCACCTTTGTCATAACTACTTCCACTGCTGCCTCTCTCACTACTGACCCCTCCAGGACCAAACCCACCAAACCCAGCTCCACCCATGCCGAAACCAGCAGGGAAGCCACCATAGCCAAATCCAGCAGGGAATCCACCGAATCCCATGCCACCAAAACCAAAGCCTGGAGCAAATCCTCCAGCACTAAATGCCGCTGGGTTAAAGCCAAAGGGATTGAAGTAACTCATGTCACCATCTCTGCTTCTTTCTCTATCCCTGCTACTCCTGTCTCTATCACCTAAATAAATAAAAGACAGTACATCAGTTAATAGATAAATATAATAATAGACTATGGAGGGTAATGCAGGTTGATGAACTTTTGGCCATATAATGTCTTGTTTGGAGGGTGCAGGACTGTCACTGACAAATGAAGGTTTGCTGATAGTAGATGTAACTACATTTGCAGCAGCCTCTCGACTAGCTATGTTAGGTGACATTCATTAGTTTTATATTTAAGCATCATAACTATATATACTACCAGAATAATGGTACTACAGTATTACTGCCTGGGTATTATGATTTTAGCTTTTATATATGTCATTTTGAAAGCATTGATGCACATAAAATATCACATTATTTGGAAATACATTTTTAGCTTTAAAACCCTATCAATTTTGAACTTCAACCATAATATTAGCCTGCTTTTTATGTTTCTTTGACCTCCAAGAATTCTAGTCATCTATCTGGGTTTTATTGGCTGTTACCAATCAAAGAGTAAGATATCAGAAATGATAAATATATCTGAAATTATGAAGGTCATAGAAGCATTAAAAGAGATGGTTTGAAAAGTTTAAGCAAAGGTTAGGCAAATTTACCTTTTCCCTCTTTACCAAAAAAACTTGGAAACCCAAAGAAACCAGGACCCAAGGGACCCATAAAACCTGCAGACCAAAAACCACAAGGAAAAAAATCATCAAATACACAATAGAAATTAGAGTACCAATGAAAAACACACAGCAGACCACATCCACTATTTTCTGAGGTCACACACAAAGCATTTAATGAAGGCTGCAAAGTTGCAGCCTTGAATGGTCCAATGCTTTGTGTTTGATGGGTGAACCGATTTATGGAATGCATTGAATTCATATTTAATTGTGAAGAAATAAGAAGCAAACAGAGAGAAATTTTGAATGTCATGTCTATTGACCTATAACATTATGATGTCACAGCTTGTTTACATGGGCAAGCATGATGGGAATTTAGGCAAAATTTTCTTTCGTTTGGGATGTTTGGTACAACATTTATCTGTTATCACCTTTCCCTGTCTAATCAACCATTTTTTGATTTAATTCGTTTTGCTGCTATTTTGCCCCCTCTGGCGATCATGATCCTTATTAGCGTTAAGACAATAGATTGTTTTGATGTGACTTCATAGTGTTATAGGGCAATTGAATGGCTGTGGTTTGGTAAAGAGTGGTCCTAAACGGTATGTAGCCAAAATTTCTGACCCAAATGGGAAAAAAGCCCAGTGACCCTGTTATTGAAAATCATTATTTTTAGAGAGTATGGTACATCATAACCACCATGTTGGTTGATGATAATAAAACATTCCCTACTAGGTTCTTCACGTCTTCGTCTGCCATTTTGCATTACAGGGCAAAGACAGCAAAATATCCATATTTCTATATATTTTGCCATTTTTGTCCAAATTCAATATGGAGAACCAAAGCATGAAGTGGCTTATTGTTATGTATGTATTTTGAGTCACGTGGTTGCACTCCAAAAATACCATATAAGCTGAAGCCTCTTTTCCTTGTAAGGAAACTCTTGTAAAATGAAGATTTTAGCTGAATGCCAATTAGCTAAAAAATAAAAAATCTACCTCTATCTCTGTCTCCTCTGTCACGTGAATCTCTATCCCTCTCTCTGCTTCTCTCTCGGTCAGAACTATAGCTCCCTCGGTCATCATCCTCGTGTTTTTTTCTGATCATCGACTGAGGTTCTGCCTTCTTGACTTCGCATTGTTTCATGCGAATCTCGTGGAACTTCATCGCGCACACTTTCTCTGCTATTTCGTCGTTATCAAAGGTTACGAAAGCAAAACCTCGAATTCTGTTTTGATTCTCTTTATCTCTCTTTAGGTCAATGTCAATCACTTGGCCATCGCCGTCTTTTTCGCACAAACCAGTGAAGTATTCCCTGATATCATCTTCAGTAGTCGTACTAGCCAGTCCACCAACGAAAATCTTTCGAGTCTTGGTCAAAGCCATCGGGTTTTTCGCCTCATCTTTAGGGATAGATCGTTTTGGTTCAATCTCTCGATCATCTAGAATGTGCTTACGTACTTTCAGGCAATCATCAACGCTCTTTGAAGAAGCGTATGTAACAAACCCAAAGCCTCTGGATTTGCCGTCTTTCTTCATGATTACACAGTCCACGATGGTTCCCCATTCCGAAAAATAATCCTTTAGACCTTCTTCTGAAGTCTCCCAATTCAGCCCACCGATGAATATCTTGCGAAGCTTTTCACTTTCGGTCATTTTTTGAGGAATTTCAAAGAAGAACTTAAACAAACTTGTTACAATTTAGAACTGACACTAAAATGGCTGCCGCGTTTTCCGTCACGTGGGAACTGTAAGCGTCCTTGCATTTGATTGGCTTGGAGCAAAGGATTTGTTTTAGGGAGGAGGGGAGCTTTGAGTATTTTTGTTCTATTCTTGGTCTTATAAGTAAGAGTTATATAATAAAATGGCTTCATGAATAAAAAATAGACTTCAAAATAACATTAAGAAATTTCATAAATATTTTATATCTGTTAAGATAAGAATTTATTTTTTAAAGGTAAATTTTTACACGTCCCACTCCCCCTGGTGTATTCAATGGATTTTTAAAAATGGCGGCGAGTAAGAAAAGAAGAGTGGAGGAGTGCATATCTGAAAGATTTCTAGACACTGAGTACAATCTGAGTGAGAATCTCTCCAAACTTTGCTTCCTACCTTCTGTATCTTATGTTTATAACCCTCTAAAATATGCTCGTGAACCACACTGTAATTACATACGAAAATATTGCAGAAGCACCAAGACTGTCTTGTTCGTTGGAATGAATCCTGGACCTTTTGGGATGGCACAAAATGGAGTGAGTGGAATCCTATACAGCCAGTTAGTGAGACATGAAGCAATATGTGGCAATGCTTGCATGGCAACACCAATTGATGACACTAACAGTTGCCATGTAGGAGACTGCAGTACATAAATACAGTTATGTCAAAAATTTCAGGTTCCCTGATTTTGATTTGTCCCCTCTCCCTACCTAGATGACAATTAGGGACCATTCATTATTTAAGTCGGGGGGGGGGGGGGGGGGGGGGGGGNGGAGGAGAAAATGGGGGGCCTTGAAAGATCAAAAGAAGGATTGGGAGGATTTTTAAAACGATTGATCATGAAGGGGGTACCCAAAAAGCATGAATGCTATTTAGTTGGGGTCTGGAAAATTTTTTTGCATCAAATTTTCTCCTCCACCCCCCTCTGACTTAAATAATGACCGGTCCCTTAATAGTCTCTTTTAATCCAATATTTTTATTCACCCCAGGTACCTTTTGGAGACCCAAAATATGTCAAAGAATGGCTTGAAGTAGAAGGAAATGTTGAAAAACCGCCCAAAGAACATCCCAAAAGACCAATACTTGGTCTCGACAGCACCAGAAGTGAAGTGAGCGGGACAAGGTTTTGGGGATTTCTAGAAAAACATTCTGTCACCCCAGAGAATTTTTTTGCAAGTTGTTTTGTGCATAATTACTGTCCACTGGTTTTCATGACTGTAACAGGGAAAAATATTACTCCTAATAATATACCTGCCAATCAACGAAAAGAACTTTTTAAATTTTGTGATCAGGCATTGATAGATGCAGTGGATTTGTTAGGTGTTGAGTTTGTTGTGTGTATTGGGAAATTTGTAGAAGGAAGATGCAAAATACTATTCAAAGAACACGAGGTTAAAATCTGTAGTCTGATGCACCCAAGCCCAGCTAATCCCAGAGCTAATGCAAGTTGGGAGAAGATTGCACTTGAGCAGCTTGAAAGATGTGGAGTCATGACGTACATTCGCGTGAAACACTGAGAAATTGCTACAATTAATAGTATAGACAATATATTGCCAGTCACAATACTTTGTGGCACACATTGCCTCAGTATCTTCTGGTACACATTGCCAGGAAAGTATCAGCAAGTTGCATACGATGCCAGAGTTTACTTACCATACTGTGGCACACATTGCTGCAGCTGCAGTTGAATTATTCATAAGAGAACATACTTATAGCTAGCATGCTAATTGTTGGTATTTTATAAAAGGTCACTCAAACCTTCTCGGCTTGGGCGTGCTCAGGTGTAATGTTGTCCCATTTCAGACCACATGGCTAACCATGTGTCATTCTCTAGGGTATCATTTCTTTGTTTAATGGTTGTGCTCAGTTGCACATGAGAATACACATGGGTATGGATACAACTCAAACAAAGAATCGTATTCTCAAGGGAATGACATGTGATCTGAAATGGGAAAACATTAGCCCAAGCCGAGGAGGTATATTAAAGAGAATGTGCAATAAGTGTACAGAATCGTAGGGGATTTGCAGTGGGGGAAATCTGATTGTTTCTTGAGGCAATCTCTCGTTTTCTCACTGGACTCTGAAGATGACTTCCGCTCAGGTTGTAGAAACGTCAGTCACTACCAACAGCAGTCTTCTCACCCGGATGATCACATTTCACAACAAACTCCAACACCTGGGTTCAAACCATTTGCTCTTAATCTCTATTAAGTTAATCATCAGGCCTTGAGCTTTTTTAACTAGGTATAAATCACAAAATTGAACAATAAATTATACAGCAATAAATCTTTATTTTTGATATCAGGCTTTAAAAAGATCAAGTGCATAATAATTCTTAATGATTAGAAATAGCTATATTATAAAATATGTATTAAAATGATTTTATTTTGCAATATGAATACTAGGTTTTTCATTGAAACACATTTTACACTGTTTACTAGTGAAATTTAAAATTACTCTAAATAAAATTGGTGGTCATGTTCATCTCTATTCGCAGAGAAAATTATTTTAATATTTCCCATATAGAAAAAAATTACCCCATAATTTATAATAAATGATAGCTTTTACACATTAAAAATGATCCCCTTAGTTTATATTAGTACAGCAGAGGTAATATGCACACATCCCATGCAGTTACTCCCATTTTTCCATTTCTTCCAAATCTCAGTTTGGAGGACAGATAATATGATTTCAATCTCTGGGACATTAATAAGACTGTTTTTATGGGAAGGCATTTTATTTTGTTGTGGTCCAATTAGGAAATGCTGGAAGGAATCTATACAGAACCTCTATAGGACACAAGGCTGGGATGAGATTTGCTGGAAGGTTATATGCTGGATAACAGAGTAGATTTCAAATGGCTGTGAAATGAAAATGCATGTGGTGCTGTTACAGTCAGAATTGATAACGGCCCCATCACAGCACAAGATCACAAACAATCAAACATGGTAATATCATAATTGCCACTGCAAACTTGTCTTTACCATGTGATTTTCACAGCCAATTGAAATTCACTTTGAAGAAAAATTCAATTAAAACAATATATAGTTATAAATATTATTACAGATACAGATAATATGAATTTTTTAGGAAACGTTTTTTTACGAAGCATTCTATTTTCAGAATACTTGTACAATTTGCTAAACCAAATTGTGTGGTTGTGTTATGGTACATTTAAAGGTACCCCAAAATTATTTTGATTATAACTGTTTTGGTACTCTCTTTGATTTAGTGCAAGAAAAAGCCATGTACTGTCTCAGAAGCTCAATCTTGATTGGCTGTCTAAAACAATGGGCATTATGATTGTCATATTTGGAATAACAATAGCAGATATTAGATTTACACTCTATTGCCTTCAAACGACTGTTGCATTTAAGTCAGGTTCAAAACATTTCATTGTATTGACACAAATGCCTTGACTTGAAGCAATTGTTTGAAGGCAACAGTGTGTAACTCTAATATCTGCTATCATATTGTCTATGAATTATTCAATCTGGTTGAATTAATCGCAGGTATGTCCCTGAGTGATTGCTTTGATCAAAGCATAACATTGTAATATATTATTAGTATCATTAATTAAGCAATATAGAAAGAACTATAATTGTGAGTGAATTATCAGATCATGAAATAATTTCTATATTATGATTATATATTGTTTTTTATAATTTCAA